AGGTTTACCAGGGTTATGCATGGAGGTAGCACATATAGGGCAACTTTTGACATACTTTTCTAGGTCAATTCTCATTTGGGGCCACAAAAACTGGCGTCTAGCGAGATGCAAGGTCTTTAAAAATCCGAAGTGGCCTGCCTGTTTGGAATCATGGCAGTGATGGAGGATACCTTTGTGTAATGTATGTGGAACATATAGTTTAGTCCCATATCAGGCCAACCCATCCCGCTGGATTAACAAACTCTGGTGCTTCTGAAACCAAAGGTCATGTGGGAGGGCCGCCTTTAGTTCGTTTTCCAGATCCACAGTGATCGGACGGGATACCACTTTGGCGACACTCTGCGTATAGGAGGTAGGATCGCCTGGACCACCTCCTGCCATTTGCTATCATATTGCGGTAACCTAGACAATGCATCCGCTAGAAAATTTCGGCCACCTGGTACATATTTAAGGTGAAACCTGAAACGCCGAAAGTACTGTGCCCAACGCATGTGTTTTGGTGAAAGTCTTCTTGGGGTTTGTAACACCTCTAAGTTTTTATGGTCAGTCCAGACCTTGAATTCATGTTTGGCCCCTTCCAATAAATGCCTCCACGTGGATAAGGCCCATTTAACAGCAAAGGCCTCTTTTTCCCATATGGCCCAAGCCCTTTCAGTTTCAGTCAGCTTCCGTGACGTGTATGCGCAGGGGTGCTATGTCCCAGTTGGGTTTCGTTGTAACAGGACTGCCCCCACCGCTACGTCACTAGCATCCGCCTGCACTATAAATGGTTGTTCTGGATTCAGATGTAACAGAACGGGTTCCTTGGCGAATAAAGCCTTCAACATTTTGAACGCCGACTGGCACTCTGCAGTCCAGGCTAGCGCCTGTCCAGGTCGTGGCCGTATGGTATTTTCCGGGTCCGTAATAAGTCCGTGAGCGGCAAAGCCACCTTTGTGAATGCAGGGATGAATTGCCTGTAGAAATCGGCAAAACCTAAAAAGCTTTGCAATTGGCGTTGGGTTTGTGGGGCTTGCCATTCCAGAACAATTTGCACCTTTGCTGGGTCCATCTCTATACCCGCTGCAGATATCCTATAGCCCAAATAGTCGAGGCGTGTTTTATGAAATTCGCACTTTGATATCTTCACAAACAGTCGGGCATCGAGCAACTTATGCAACACATCCCGGACCAAACTGATATGTTCTTCCATTGTGTTGGTATAAATCAGTATGTTGTCCAAATAGACCAATACTCCACGATATAGATGATCGTGTAACACCGCATTGATTAGCTGCATAAAAACAGCGGGAGCGCCCTGTAGCCCAAAGGGCATAACCCAGAATTCATAACTCCCCAGAAGACAGTTAAATGCTGTTTTCCATTCGTCATCGGGTTTAATTCTAACCCGGTAATAAGCCTCCCTCAGATCCAATTTGGTAAAAATCCTCCCCTGAGCTAGATGGGCTAACATGTCCTTCATTAAAGGAAGAGGGTACATGTGTTCTATACAGACCGCATTAATGCCTCTGAAGTCCACACAAAGTCGAAGGCCTCCATCCTTTTTCTCTTGGAACAATACAGGCACTGCGATTCGGGACTTGGCCGGTTGTATGAAACCACGTGCCAAATTCTTATTGATATACTTCCTCAATTTCTCCAGTTCCCGAGGTGTCATGGGATACATACGTGGCTTTGGCAATTTGGCTCCCAGCAAGATGTCAATTGCGTAGTCGGTTGGACGGTGGGGTGGTAAGTTGTCACATTCCTGCTCGCTAAATACTTCTGCAAGATCGTTATATACCGCCAGAAAGCCTGGATTTATCTGCTTGATTTGTTGCCACTTTAACCCCATCCCTGGGCTTATCCTCAGTATTGACCTTGCTCCTAGGTGGGCTGTTGCTACTGCTTTTCTCCGCTCTTGGTGGGCGAGGGCCAACACCAAGGCGCATATGGCGACAACCACCCTCTCACCATATAGTAGAGCCCCACTTGTCTAGCCAAGCTAGTCCTAATATCACTTCCTCTGTCATGGATGGAACTATAATGAAACGGAGAATCTCCCAATGTTCTCATTTCTCCAACCATATAGGCTCTGTTACCAGTGTGGCCGCCCCCCCCCAGAAGGGAACCGTCCACTTGTTCCAAGTGGATTGGATGTAACAACCGCCTCGTCCTAAGTCCCACTTTCTCTACCATCCTCTTACTGATGAGACATCTGGTACAACCAGAATCTATTAATGCTTGGCACACACTACTCTGGCCAGTGATAGGACTTGTCAGGGAAATCGGAATGGCAAATGGTACTATTGGCTGGCTTACCATAGGGTCCTCTTCTGGATCCATATGATCATATTCCTCCAGCAGGACATCAGGGCCAGTAGGTGTTGCCTCCCCTGAAGGTCAATGGGGGGGGTCTCTCTTTCAGCCTGATGTAATGCTCTAGACTGATCTGGAGTCCTCTGTGGAGTAGCACCCAGTCCTCCCTGGGTCGCCGACATACCCTGTCCTGCTGGAACTGGACACTGCGCCACCTGATGTCCTAGCCGGTTACACCTGAAACACCTAAATGTCCCTTTAGTAGGTGGTGCAGAAACAGGTGGTGAAAGGATAGGAGGCTGGCACCCAGGCTCTTTCGGCCAGTCCCCTACCTGTCGAGGGATGGATGGGCCAGCTGTGACTGATCGAAATTCTTGCAATCCCACATGTAATTCGGTCACCACCCGAAACCAGTCCTGGAGCCTACAGGATATACCCCGTACAACACAGGCCTGCCTCAGGTCTTTATCCAGTCCATTATGGAAATGGTACACCAGGAGACGCTCTGGCCAAGCCCTTAATCTACCAGCCGCACGTTGGAATTCCCGTACAGCCCTGCTCTTTTGTCGCAATCCCAAGATCTCTGCTTTGGCCCATTGAACCCACGTAGGATCTTCAAATCGGGCTCTCAGTGCATCGAGGAACAGTCCAATGTCACCCAGCTCCCAAGCATGATCACTAAATAGGTCAGCAGCCCAGGCAGCTGCCCCCCCTGTAAGTTTGCTGTTATCACCACAACAATAGCCCATTGGGAAGAATATTGTGGTGCAAACCTATCTAGGTGGCTCAGGACATGTCCCATAAATATCGCCAATCTATCTGGGTCTCCATCAAACATCACCCCAATAGGTGGAGGAACTCAGGCTATATCTGCCGGCCACATAGTGGCAGCCTGTCCAGCCTGCTGGCTATTATCTGGCGTGGTCCTATGCCGACTCCCTGGACCTAACTCCCCTGAGCCCAAGGAACAAGGGAATGATGTAGAGCGGCTTGTAGGTGCAGCTGTAGAGGCCATGCCAGTTTGGTCCCCCTGCCTTTGTTGATCCTGAGTCAGCCGAAATCATGGGCTGGCTAAACGAAACCCAGAAGAGCCCATTGGGGCCTGGGAGCCTGGAGTGCCACCTGATCTGGGTAAAAACCCCATTTCTCCAAATCTGTCATGAAGAACGTCCAAGGTATACTGCCCTGGAGCTGTAGAATAACTCCACTCCTCGTCTTCACCCATAATGCGTCTCTCCCTCCATCCGGATAGGGAGTTTCTTTCCCCAGTCAAGAAAGGCCCACCAACCTCTGAGCATTGTAGGGCTGAACTCAACCACCACTCCCCCTAAGATGTTGCAGTTGACTTCTGCTTAGTCTCACCCCCGCTGTCCACTGGCTACTGGGCACGTCCCTTAGGCCTCAACACCGGTAAAGCCTCTGCCACCCCTGCCTCAGCGACCGTTTCCTTGTCTGTGGGCAGCTCCGGGATCTCCCGCACAGGATCGGCATCCTGGACTCCCTCTGCCATAGCTGCTCCAAAACAACCCCCTTGCAGATGAGAGAAAGGGATGAGAACTTCCAAGCAAGCAAGAATGGGAGTGCCGACTTACTGTCACGACGTCCTAGCCCGGTGTTTCGTTGCGAGGAAATAAACCACAAGCAGGAACGAGGAACAAAACTTTACTGAAGAAGTGAAGCATGAGAAAAGTCGGCACTGAGAACCATCTGTTCTCAGCGCCCTTACATAGTGACTAAACCCACCACGCCCTAATGACACCAACCCCACCCAACCAACACCCGGTAAACCACCATCCGGTCCCCAAAGGTAAATAACATGCCCCATGCGCTATGAATCTATCCCAACAATCAGCTGGCCATGCGCATGCGTTAATCAGTCGTCCCAACAATCAGCTGGCTATGCACATGTGGATAATCCTCTCTCTAATGTCGGGCCTCTGCGAGGCTCCAAAAACTCCTCTGTTCGCTCCTCCGTGAAGACGCTGAGTGATGACGTCATAGGGAAGCTACAACAGCTTCGGAGCTTCGAGGATGGCCGGGAAGGACAGGCCCAGGTAAACAGGAGGGCGTTGGGAAGACCGGTGGGGTATCTCCATACTGCGAGGCCTCGCAGGGCACGACAACTTCATTGTATACATGTCAGTCAAAGAATTTTAAATTGTACCTCCTTTCAAGAGGTATCCTTTAATTATGCACATATATGGTTATTCAATGTCTTTTTTTCCTCTATTTTCAATTTTCCACGCTAAACTACCATTGATTTACCTCAGGAACAAGTTATGTTTTGTATAAACAAATGCAAAGTTATATGTCCCCTGACTAAGACCCACTAACTACTCCAGCTTAGGATAATGTCCTCACTAATAAAATAGAGAAGAGTGAGATGTGGGGAAAAATGCACGTGCAGCAAACTGCCGTGCTTTCCCCCCCACAAACCTCATAACCTTTTGATAACCTTTGTCCCAGTGAAGCAGCCAGAAGTTCATACCTTTTTGACTTAATGCCTTACCTACCTAAACAGATAATATGCTTAGTTCCTTCTCCTATCTCTTCCTGTCTTTGTTAGTTCCTTCTGTTTTCATCTACCTGTATTTGTTCTTACCTCATCTTTGACCATGTAATGTGTTACTAGAAAATAGTTGCTTACATGAAGACATTTTCCAATGAAGAAACCTTTGTCAGCATTTAATGGTTAAAGCCTATGTATGTAACAAGTATACAAGAAGCAATAAACTCAGAGTTTGTCAAGCTGTGTCCTGCAGCTTCAAACCTCTGCTCAAGACATGCCTGCATCTTTTTCTTAGCGTCTTACAGTCCTGAATTCCAGGGATGTAAAGATTCAGCAGGAATCTTTATTTACTAGCTTTTATAAGTCCCATTCCACAGACTTACTGTATATGTACTAGTGAATCCTAACGAAAGGGCTCAGATGAAAAGTTTTTGTCATCATTTATTGGCCTTTTTAATTTCCCTTTTATGCTTACACTGCTAGATCACAAACCACACTTTTTAAAACATCAGATAGAAATCTAGCAGGAGTATCTGCAATAATGTATGAATAAAAAGCATGATGATCATCTTCATATTTAGGTTCCCTTACTTCCACTGTTGTTAAATAAAATTATTCATTTTTTACTAAGCTGCCCAGAATCGCTGAGAGTGAGTGGGTGGCCATATAAATTTTCTAAATAAATAAATATTATTTTTTAAAACATTTAAACATTAAAGATGGTATTTTGGCAAGTGAAACTTTAAAAAATTCCCAGGTATTACAAAATCCCTAACAGATCATCCATCATTTTTCAAAGCAAATCAATAAACGGTATTTTAATAAACTGATTTATGTTTTTATAACTATTAAAATCTGTCAATAAACACATTATACTTAAATTTTGCTTTCAAAGGAAACAGGAAACTAAATAGACAAACAGAAAAGAAAGTTGACATACTCTTCAGATGAGTCACTGGGCTTGGTGTTGATTTTCACAAGGTAATTTTCTTTCATGACAGCTTCCCACGCCAAAGTTTCATTATCTTCATTTCTTGAACCTTCAACATACAAAATCCAAACCACAATGTATAGTAGTGTTTTATTGACAAAAGAAACACAGATGGTAGAGATCTAATTTAAAAGGGTAATAAAGACTAGCTTCAGTTGTACACTGTGCATATGCACAGAAACACGCACACATACATACATACATACAGCTATGCATATTTGTTCAGAAGGTTTTCACATTCCTAAGTATCCTGAATGCTTAACACAACTTTACCCACATACAAATACTGCCCCCTCCCCATACAGCTCCTTTAGATTATTCTGTTTTCATTATAAACAGTACACTAGATATACTGAGACATGGATATTTTTTTGTTAATTCCAAATATTGACATTCCTGTTTTTTAATGCTGCTTTCCATTTTATTTAGCCAAAGTTCAATTTTTTAAAAAATATTATTTTGCATTTTTCATCAGTGCACATATTTTCATTGGTTAGTTTCCATCTGTTCTGGTTTTGAAAAAATATTTTCCATAAATAAATATAAGTGTTGCTATTTCTTCTTTTGAAACTGTGTAATTCAGTGGATGTGATTGTACTGTTGCTGAGCTTCCATTAGTCTTACTGTTTTGCTGACTAGTAGTTCAGTATTATAATCCATGACTAGTTTAAGTATAACATGTATCATAAACATGAAAAACCATGGCAAACCACCTCTATAACACTGTCGCATGGTCATATCTATATAGTCACAAGTCATACTCAAATTTGAAGGCATCTTTATCTTTTACATTCAGGACAAGGAGCATATGCATAAGGAGCCCTGTGGCACAGTGATTAGAATGCAGTATTGGAGGCAAACTCTGACTACAACTTGAAGTTTAATCCTGATGGGGTTCAAGGATGATTCAGCCTTCCATCTTTCTGAGGTCAGTAAAATGAGGACCCAGATTGTTGGGGTCAATATGCTGACATTGTAAACTGCCCAGAGAGTGCTGTAAAGCACTATGGGGTGACATATAAGTCTTAAGTGCTATATGCAGGATTACACATGCCTTGTATATCTTTACTGAGACCTCAGAAGCTTTGCTTCATAAGTGCATCAGAAGATTCAGATTTGATACAGCTAAAGAACTATAGACCAATATCACTATTAAATGTGGATTATAAAAATTTTGCCTCAATAATAGCAGAGAGGCTGAAAAGATTTCTGATTGAATTTATTCATCCAGACCAAAATGGATTTCTACCAAAAAGACAAAAAATAACCTAAGAAATATTTTGGATACACTGGAATATTATGTAATGCATCCAGGAAAACAAATGGCACTAAGTTTTTAGATGCACAGAAAGCCTTTGATAACGTAAATTGGCAATTTATGATACAACAACTAAACTATATATAGAGAAATGTATAAATATAATTAAGACAATATACTATGGACAAGTAGCAAAAATAATTGTAAATGAGGATTTTACAGAGAATTTTAACATAAAAAAGGCACAAGGCAAGGATGTCCACTATCTCCACTGTTATCTGGAAATGTTGAATAGAAACATTAGACAGGATCTAAAAATCAAAGGAATGGAGGTAAAAGATGAAAAATATAAACTGCAAGTGTTTGCGGATGGTTTGGTATTTATACTAGAGGAACTGTTGGAGACAAGCCCTAAACTATTGAAAAGGATAGAAGAATTTGTAGAAGTAGCAGGATTGAAGATAAGCAGAGAAAAAACTAAAGTTATAGTTAAGAATCTTGTAGATAAACAAAAGAAATCAACTGTCAGATAGTTAAGAAAGTTAAATATTTGGGAATATATCTAACAGCAAGATGTGCAACAATAAAAGAAGACAGCTATATAAAACTATTAAATCAAATAAAACTGGATTCAGAAAAATGGAAAAATCTACAACTATCAATGTTAGGAAGAATAGCTACTGTAAAAATGAATATCTTACCAAAAATGGTCTTCCTAGTTCAAACAGTACTGTCAGAATCCAATTATATTTCATCTGTAGTTATCAACTATGGAAAACCCCATTCCTGCCTTCTCTGGATTCTGTCATACGATGAAGGGAAGGGGGTAAACAAAGGGGCTTTATGGCCCTCACTTCCTTCAGTACACTTCAAAGAGACTGGATGTGGATACCACCAAAAGGACTAACCATAACAATGGGGCTATTACCTTTCATGTACTCCTCTCTGAAGTCTACCTCCTGTCGGCAGTGAGAGAAAGGGGATGGGAATGTAATGCCTGAGACTGTCGCTGGAAGAGGGGGGTGATTGGGTGGGGCTACTGGGGAACCCCTTAAAACCTTGAATGGGAGAGCTTGGACCCCAAGTACTGTCTAGAACGCCTGCAACCATTTTCTCTTAATAAAGGATGCCTGTTGGAAGAATTATTCCAAGAGTTCTGTCTTCTTAAGATGCAAAGTGGGGTGGGTCCTTACATTAGACAGGACTTGCAAAATTAATCTACCTGGAAGGGAGACCCTTGCCGGGGGATTTTGCAAAAATTTACCATGTCAGACAATGGAGCAAGAAAGGGGGAAAACTCCCCAGAAAGAGAGCCGCTGGCCCAACTGGAACCTTGCCAGATGTTGGGATATGAGAGGTCAGATTCCTCAGGAGAAGAGGTGGTGGAGACACGGGATCACAAGCCTCGCTGGTCAATGGACGTTGGAAAGAAAGGTGAGTGGGAAAGGAAATCAAGAAAGGTGACCCTGAGACGGGGGGGCCAAGCAACCAGAATGGAAGCAGGAGATGGAGAAATCCCTGCACACAAGTGAAGAGGAAGGGAGTTGGGCACCGTACTCGGACTGGATCCTAGAGAAAGTTATTGACCTGATGAAGAGAACTCTCAGCTCCCTAGGAGAGGAGAATCCTGAGCCCTACAGCTGCCCCAGCTCCTGGAGCCGCAAAGGGAGAGACACCAAGGGGGAAGTGAAACCTGCAGCCCCGGGGACATCTGCTGATCCAGTAGTCCCCACCTCCTGCCGAACCACAGATGGCGATCTGGACGGAAGACACTACCACCAACAACGGAGGCACCGATCCATTCCAAGACGTCCGCCGTTGGATGTGAAATTCAAAGGGGAACCAACACGCTTGGGGTTTTTCCTAACCCAAGTCCTCAGCTACATGGATGGGTGGGACATCCCCAGCGACAAAGCCCGCATCCAGATCATGCAATCTGCCCTGGACGGACTGGCTGCAGATTGGGTGGTGAACTTGCACGACTCCAATGCCCCAGACTTCAACCGTATCATGTCCTCTCTGAGAAGGTGATTTGAAGACCCCCTGGCTGATCGCAAAGCCCGTGAAAGGATAAAAACAATGAGGCAAGGCAAACGCCCGGTGGCCGAATATACGCAAGAATTCCGGGCCATTGCCAGCAAACTGAACTGGCTGGAAGACATCCTCCTTAGCCATTTCAAAGACAGACTAAATTATGACCTATATGACGCCTGCCCCGAGGGGGCCCACACTAACTTGAGGAATGGTACATCTTGGCAGAGGAAGCAGAGATTGACATATTGAAGAGGCACCGCCGAGGAAAACAATGGAGCCACCCCCCGCCTGAGTTGACACACGAACCAGTGAAACCATTGGCTACAGCCAAGAAGCAAATGGGGTGTTTCAAGTGTGGAAGAGAAGGGCATCGAGCTGTAGAATGCCGCTCAAAAGCCCTCCAGCACAACCCAGACAGATCCCCGATCAGCAAATCCAGAAAGTCTCCAGCTAAGCCAAAAGCAACTGCCACGAGAATGATGGAGGTTGTGGAACCCCCCACCTCTGCTCATCAGGGGGAAAGAACTCCAGCCTACACTGCAGGGCTGGTGGACGCCTCAGACGACAGCTCGGAGGGCGAACTCCTGGTAAGTGGACGCATCGCACTGATCCTCAAGACAGTGACTATATTAATTCCGCCCATGCCCGAAACCGTGAAGGTGAAAGCCTTAATAGACTCTGGCTGCACCCGCTGCCTCATTAGCCCGACACTAGTGGGGAATCTGGGCATTCTGTCGAGGAAACTGGAACAACCAATCTCCTTTGGCCAGTTAGATGGATCCATAGCAGGGGGGGTGCCGGCTACCCTTGCCACTTTACCGATACACCTCTCCCTGGGCAAACATGAGGAGGACATAACATTTGTGGTGACCCCAGGCATGGAATGCCCAATGATCCTAGGAATGGAATGGTTAAAAAAATGGAACCCCTGAAAGTGGGGTGGGTCCTTACAAGTACCCATAAAAATAGAGAAAAAATTCTTCGACAATTAAAACAAACTGATTTTGAAATTTATTTGGCAAGAGAAGAAAGCCAAAATTAGATTACAAATGTTACAAGAATCTAAAGAAAATGGAGGATTTGGTTTACCAGATTGGGTGTTATACTATCAAGCATGTGCTCTAACATGGCTAAAAGAATGGATACCCCTTAGACATAAAAGATTATTATACTTAGAAGGACATGGTTTACAACTAGGATGGCACGCCTTTCTATGGTATGGGAAGAATAAAATTCATAGATACTTCCAAAATCACTATGTAAGAAATGCATTACTTTTAGTATGGCAAAAGATAAAATCTAAAAATTTATATGAAAATACAAGGATGGTTTTCAATAATGGAAGCTTTTGTTCATCCAAACTTAACTATTGAGAAAATTGTAACCTATAAAGATATTTTGAATATGGAAGGGAAATTAAAATCTAAACAAGAGTTGGAAGATCAGGGTATTGATTTATCATGGTGGCCTCAATTGCAAATACAATTGAGATATGAGAAAGATGCTAAAATACATGGTTTTTATAAAGACCAGACAATTTTTTTTTATTGAATTTTTTTTATTTTTTAAACATACAATCATTTATAAAAATACAATAAAATTTTAAAGTAGAAAAAAAACCCCATTACCCTCCCTCCCACTCCGAACACCCCTCCCTTCACTTCCCAGAGCAGAATACAGGGTTAATAATAAAAAAATTATAATAATTAAGAAAAAAGAAAAAAAGAGAGAAAAAAATATCATAATTAACCTTTAACTCCATAACCTATAAAACAATTCTCTATAATATTTAAAATTCATTCATAAAATAAATGAAACTTTTTAATTCCATACTTTTTCTGAATATAATCTATCCACCTTCCCCATACAATAATATATCTTTCTTGTGTATGATCCTTTAAATAAGCAGAAATTTTTGCCATTTCTGCAAAACTAGATACTTTAAATATCCATTCTTCTAAAGTAGGCAAGGAATCTTTCTTCCAATATAAACCTACTAGTAACCTTGCTGCAGTTAATAAATTCAACATCAAAGTAGTTTCTTTTTCATTTAAGTCAACAAAAATACCAAGTAAAAATAGTTGAGGAGTAAACTTTATCTTTTTTCTAAAAATCTTTTGAATGTTCCACCAAATCATAATCCAAAAAGCCTTTACTTTTTTACAATTCCACCAAATATGAAAGTATGTCGCATCATTATTGCCACATCTCCAACATTTGGGCTGTATATTGGAGTACATACAAGATAATTTTTTAGGATCTAAGTGCCATCTATAGAACATTTTATAAAAAATTTCTCTCAAATTTTGAGCTTGTGTGAATTTAACATTTCTTATCCGAATTGTCTCCCATAAATCCAATGAGATCGGCTCCTGTATATTCTGAGCCCATTTAATCATACAGTCTTTAACCAATTCTGTTTCCGAATCTAACTCTAATAAAACATTGTATATTCTTTTTATATGAGCCGGACTTTGGTTTTTAATCTGAATAACCAATTGTCTATCTTCTAGTGTTATTCCCTCTTTCTTGTCTACAGTCCATCTATCCATTATTTGTAAATATTGAAACCATGACTGTAGAATATTTTGCTGCCTTAGTACATCTAGGGATTTCAAATGCCAATTCGAACCAGAGCGAATTAACAATTCTTTATACGAGATTTTGTCAAAATTTGTCCCCTTAGAAGTTCCCTCAATTGCATGTCTGGGAATCCCCCAGATAGGTATTTTATAATTTAATCTATAATAATACTTCTTCCAAACACGAAGTAAGGCATTCCTCAAAATATGTGATTTAAAAGTCCGATCAACTTTCTTATTAAAAATTAAATATGCATGCCAACCATATATTAAATCCCAACCTTCCAAAAAAAGAATATCCATATTTGTTAAATTAAGCCAATCACTTAACCAAGTTAGGGCGGCTGCATCATAATATAATTTCAAATTAGGTGCCTTAAGTCCCCCTCTTTCTCGAGCATCCTGTAATATCTTAAATTTAACCCTTGGTTTCTTCCCGGCCCATATAAAATTATTGATACCCTTTTGCCATTCCTCCAAATTTGCCTCTTTTTTAAGAATAGGTATCATCTGAAACAAAAAAAGAAACTTTGGTAGAACATTCATTTTTACGGCTGAAATTCTCCCCAACAATGACAATTGCAATTTTTTCCAATCTCTTAAATCCTTTTGGACTTTTGCCCATAGTGGTTCATAATTGTTCTTATACAATTTTCCATTTGAAGCAGTTAGATATACTCCCAAATATTTAACCTTTTTTACCATCTGAAAACCTGTGGCTTTAATCAAAATTTCCCTATCTTTAACTGACATATTCTTAGATAATATCTTAGTCTTATAATTATTAACTTTAAAACCAGAAACATTCCCATACTGTGTTATAAGTTCTAATAAACCATCAATCGCCTTATTCGGTTGTTCCAAAATTAAAACCAAATCATCCGCAAATGCCCGCAATTTATACTCATTCTTCCTTATCTTTACACCCTTAATTAGCTTTGATTTCCGAATCTGAATCAATAAAATTTCCAATGTTAAAACAAATAACAATGGGGATAATGGACATCCTTGTCTTGTCCCTTTTTGAATATTAAAATTCTCAGTCAATCCCCCATTTACAACAATTTGTCTCTCTGCAATTATAAGATCTTTTACCTCCTCCTTAAGATCCAAGGCATGCTGTGTTAAAGCATCCTGTAAATCATTAAGAGAAATTGCAGGAGGAGGAGGAGAAGGTGGAGGTGATTTTGGTTTCTGAGATACAGGCTGAGGCATTGGAGAAGAAATAGGAACCTTAGGGGCGGGAGGCAGACGTTTTGAAGCCATTTTCTTAAATTCCAAGAAGAAAGATTCTTATTGAAAAAAAAAGAAAGAAAAAAAAGGCACAGTTCTTTTAAATATTCTTAGAAAAAAAAACAGAGAAGAGAAGAGAGGAAAGAATAAAAGCCAAATTCTTACTTTTGTGTTTAAAGAGTTAATCTGTATCCAGGTTTTACTTTGTAATGCAAATCAGGCAAGAAAGATGATCGCCATTTTACTTTTCACTTTCCCTTTCTTCTAAAGGGAAAGTGAACAAAAGAAGAGGAAGAGGAAACTTGCTGAGGTTAAAGGCACCATCAAACTTGAGCACAGTCTCTCCTGGTCTGCTCCGTCTGCTTTCAAATACTCACAAGCAGCTGGAAAAAAAAAGCAGATGTGGAAGCGGCAACTTGCTTCATCCCAAAAGCTTCGGAATGAAGTCTCCCTGGAACGCGGAGTTGCTCAGGCTCCGAGGGAGCTCTACCCTCCGATCCCCAAAATAACAGAGATCCAGGGGAGCTCTTACCTCTACCTGAGAGCTCTCCTCCTCCCTTTTTCCCAGGGAGGAGATTCAAGCCGTGGGACACCTGATTGTCAAAGTCCCGCGGCTTTTACACGGACCAGGAACGGGCTGCTTTGTAAAACGCCGCCATTCGTCGTTGCTGGAACCACCAGAAGTCAAGACCAGACAATATTTGATCACATATTATTGACTTCAGAAGAAAAGCTGATTAAGAAACTGTATAATTTTCTATTAAATTTAAAAATGGAAGATGAACAAGTGAAAGAAACAATGATAACATGGGCAAAAAACCTTGGGCATAATATAGAATTTAAAAAATGGTAAAATCTTTAGAAAGAAACTATAAATTGACAGTGGCAACTACTTATAAAAAAATTATATAAAATGTTCTATAGATGGCACTTACCACCTGCGAGATTAGCACAAATGTTTAAAAACATTTCTAGTAACTGTTGGAAGTGCATCAAAAATCAGGCACGTACTACCATCTTTGGCAGATGTGCCCTAAAGCAAAAAAAAAATTGGGACAAAAATACATATCTGGCTAGAAAAGATGTTAAGAAAACATGTAGATTTCAAACCGGAACTATTTTCATTAGGTATATTATCAGGAAAATATGATAAGAAAGTGTATATTTAATGTTGCCTGTATTAACAGCAGCAATAATTGTATTTGCTCCCTATTGGAAAAATGAAGGAACACCATCTGAAGAAGAGATAATCAAGAAAATACTGGACTGTGCAGAAATGGATAGACTTACACTGAAGATTAAAGAAAAAGAAGACACATAATATTTTCAAATATGGAATGTATTTTCTCAATGGCTGGAAAAAGAGGTAGAGATTAGGAATTTAATGTGTATTATTAAGTAAAACAAATGGACCCAGACAACATGTTGTTTACTAAGCACTTATGAATTGTAAATATAAAAAACTAATAAAATGTCATAAAAAATAATAAGTGCATTAGTTAAGAATTCCAGAATTCTGTTAAAATTGCACTTGTTAACACACTGATTGAAACACTCAGAATGTTGATCAGGTGTCATACAAGCCTATCCCCAATAAAGCAGGTATATCTACTCCATCCATCCCTCTTTTTAAATATGAGCTAATTTTATACAGTGTTGCTTAGAAAGTGTTGGATTCAGTATCCAACAAAAACCTATTTACTATTAAAATACAGTGTCACAGGAAGTCAGATTCCAACTGGATGTTTGAAAAGCACTTCAACAATAGAGGCACTAAACAGGTGAGATGGTGGGCTCTTCTTCACCAGGTATATTCATTTGGAGGCTAGACAGTCATCTGAAACTTTAAGACTTGGATTCTTGTCCTGATCAAATAGCTCTTTACAAATCTTATAATTGAACAATTCATTATTAAATAGGCTTAACAAAGTAATTGGTAGAGGATCACCAGGCTGCGCCCAAGGAAGGAGTCAAGAAGATCATTAGTCTTGAGTCCCTTCATGCTCACAAGAGATCTAAGTGCAGCCCACCTTGAATTCCATTGATCCTTACCTACCACTAATTAGTCTTGAGTCCCTTCATGCTCACAAGAGATCTAAGTGCAGCCCACCTTGAATTCCATTGATCCTTACCTACCACTAATTTGTCTTGACTGTTAGTAGTTCAGATTCTTTAGAGCAGGTGTCCCCAACCTGTGGGAGTGGCCCAGTACAGGGCGATGGCCTATTGGTCACCGGGCCGCAGGAATGGCTGGCGAGTGCATGCACATTTGTGCGCACCCCCTCCATTCGTGACATACCACGACTTTTTTTACATTGCCGGAGCTGGGGTGGGTGCGGCCTCTGTATGATGCAACCAGCCCGCAAGCTGGCAGTTTGACAACCCTGCTCTAGAGAGTGTTAGCATGCAATAAACCTGTATTCATTTGAACTGCCTTGGCTCCTAATTTCCTGTGCTTGCCATAATTGCTCTTTTTTAAAATATTTTATTAATTTTCTAATTTTACATTTAAGAATTTAAAAAGCAATGTGGTGGCTGGGTTAATTGATAATTCAATAGCATACAAAAATATTTAATACAAATCTCAAGCTAGTACGTCAAATATTTCCTCTCTTTTCCCCTTAATATCTACTGTCTCATATTTGAACTAATACAATTCTTACTATATGAATTGAGTAAAAATAGCATTATTACATTTATCAAAAAATTTTTTAGCTTATACATATCCTAGTAGTTCCTTTTACATTCAATCTTTATAGACAATCAATGTCCTGTTATTAGTTTTTCCCAATTTTTAATTTCCCATCAATATTTAAATTTAACATTTGATATTTATAATTTCCAAGTTTTAGGTAACCAAAGTTTCCTTTATCTCAATTCATAATAAAGTCTAATATTCAAGATACACATATTTCCCACCATCTTGCATCATCTAGTTAATAATACAATATAACATCCTTATTTTCAACTAATTTCCAAATGTCTTAAATTTGATGACCAAAATTTCCCTTATTTCAACATCAAATATTTCCTCTCTTTTTTCTTTAATATCTACTGTCTCATATTTAAGCTAATACAGTTCTTATTATATCAACTAAAAACCTGCTTGTTACATTCATCAATAAATTTTTATCTTGTACATATCTTAATTACTTTGACATTCAATCTTTGTAGACAATCAATATCCTATTTATTTGTTTTCCCCAATTTTTAATTTCTCATCAATATTCAAATTTAATTTTTAACATTTATACTTCCAAGTTTTAAGTGACAAAACTTTTCTTTGTCTCAATTCATAACAAAATCTAGTAGTATTCAAGATACACATCTTGTCTATTTGAGTATATTCTATTTTAATTAGTAATATAAAGTCCTCTCTAGTAAATCAAAACCCCAATTTTCTTCAGCCTTATTCTGGCTTTCTTCCTTTCCCAGCTCGCCTTCCATGTCAGTGCTTTTAAGTCATCAGATATCTGTTGTTATATATATTATTTGAAATAAGAGAGACCATCCAGTTGCCATTTTTTTGGGAAGGGCTAGCGAATCATCTCTATTATTCCAAATCCCCATAGTTGTTCTGATATGTTTGTCTCCCCTTCAGTCTGTTCTTGCTCCTCAAATTTCTTCTGGTTTATATAGAAAGTCTTTTCCATTTTCAGTGTTGTCAGTCCCTTTTCTGGATTTTCCATTGACTGTATTTGTTGGTCAGTTGAGTCCTGTCATAGTATTTAGTTGTTCCACTTCTTCTGTTATCTTCTGCGTAGTTGATTCTTTACTTGTAGTCAAAATTTGGGTTCGTATATCTAGGTTGACATCTTGTTCTTCTCTGTAGCATCTTATTTCATCACAAGCTGAAAGAATGGTTTCATGTATTGCTTTCAACGTAAAAAGAATCTGTTCCTGTTCTTCAACTATATTCTCTTAATGGTGTGTTAAGTTGAGAATTTTAAAGTCAGAGAATAAAAATAGTTTTATAACTGAGTATAGGACATAGCTGAGCTTCTCACAGCTGATATTTGTCAAGTTTGAAAAAGTCTTCTCTGTAGTCTGGGCTTCAAGCCAAGTCTCCTTTAGACAATAACAAGTTGTAATATCAGACTTGGCCACAAAATGTCACCAATACCATTTAAAATTTTTTAAGTCCAAAATTTTTATAATCCTTTTTCCAATTTTATTTCTTTTTTATAACCAAAGTCTTCAGTAAAGATAAGAAATCATTTGGTCTCCAAATTTAGAGGCATATAAATACAGTTAGATTAAGGTTATTCTTTCAGTGTTTTAACTCCCCTGGATAGTCAGTCACTGCTATTCTTAGAGGATGGGATAGAAGTTCCCTTCCCTCTCACAGGGGGGAAGATACTTTGGGTAGCTTTTATAGGGAAAAAATACTTGAGATTGAAGAGAGGTTCAGATCTCACCCAGTCTCCTCCATACTGCTTTAGAAGTGCCTGGTGGTAAGTTTGACTTCAGCTTCTATAGCCTAATGACAAGCCATATTTCTATGGCTGGTCTTTCGTCTGCCGGTTTGGAGGGCTGCCCCAGATCGAGCGGAAGGGCTACTGCCCTCCTGTGATCAAGTGGGTGTTCCCTCTTTGCTTGTCACCCTTACAGGGCAACTCGACCCTTACCAGGGTCCCCAGCGGAGCGAAACCGAACGTGGAAGACGGAGCTAGCCTTCCAGTGTCTGTGGAGGCCATGATGGCAAATTGGAAGTCCATAATTGCTCTTAATAAGGCGAGGTATCTGCAGAATTCAGCAGTTATTTTTAATGGCAAAATAATGTGATGTCACAATGTAAACTCTGTATTATGTGTGTGATATACTGTATATCACAATCACACATATAAAAGGAGGGGAGTTTGCATCATGATGTGTCAGGTGCAAAAGACCAGGTCCACAAGTGAAGGCCCAATGTAATTAATTTATTGGTTTTAAAAAAAAGCTTATGCATAGGAATCTTCTCAACTAACGGTTAGCACCTGTTTGGAGTTAGATAAGGGTCAACTGAATTCATGGGGGATTGGGCTTACTCTGCTATCTGTTATGTAGGGATTCTAGGCTGATCCCTCTTTTAACTCCCCTGTCAGATTCTGCCACGTCTTCTCTTACGGTATATGATGCTTAAAATTCCACATTTTGGACTAAGAGGACCGCTAGTTTGAAAGAGGAGTCAAAGAGGCCATCTATGTCAAAATTGAATAGCCCTCTCTCAATAGAGGGGAAGGGATATGACATCATCTATCTCCAGTTTACAACACAGTCCTTTCAGCAGTTCCAAGCAGGTTCCACACGCCATTTGCACCACTTAGGTGACCTTGAGGA